CAGTAACCTGGAATCTCCGCCTCTTCAACTTGAGATACGCCAACTTTTTGATTCGTCTTTGAACTGCAGCTGTTCCAACTTGATGCCTGCGGATGGGAAGCACAGCACCCTCCTCCATCGGGCTGGGATCCTCCAGGCGCCCTGTGCTGTGGACTTGAAACCAGTCTTTGTGAGAAGAACCATTGATAAAGAATGAACATGTCATCAACTCGGCTTGTATCTGAAATCTGTATAATGCAAATGAGTCTTGCCTTTAACCACGCTGGTTTATTCAATAAAGGGTCCTTCAGTAAACATCTTGCATGAGCGTGCACGATTTGCTTCTCAGGTGCGTTCAGCCGTTGATCTTTCTGCATATCTTACTGAACACAGCACGGTTGAGGAGAGAACATCTTTGCAATAAACTTTAACAGATTTTCCACCATTTTATATGTAGGACCGATTGGTCGATGTGTTTGCCCTTGCACATGTTTTATTCGCTGTAGGCCGTGTGGGTCGATGGACGATAACTTACCGCAAGCTATTTCGGTTGCGATACGCCCGTCGAATGCCAAGTTAAATGTCGGTGCGTGTTCATCCAAGCAATGTGCTGCAAGAGGACTGGCGTTTGTACCAAGCCGCTGACTGGGAGCGAACGTGTGAATTTCAAACACGGGGCCATGCCTATCATGAGTCGGGAGTCTCAAGTGAAAAATGTACAAACAAGACGAGAGAAAAACGTGCGAGATGGTCAAAACAAGATAATTTATTGTAATATGACCCCACCCCCCACACATTTTGAGAAAATCTATTTCAGCTTTGCGTGGAGGCGAATCGTTATCTTCGTTGTGTGCAAGCGACGGTGGCATGTGAGTGAAACTTGATAACCATTCAAAATTCCTTTACCCAGAAGAGCCTTGCTGGAGCAACCTCCATTTAGCCCTTAATTAAATAAAGTAACAAGAGTAAAGAATCAACACGATAACCTTTAAAAAAAAAAAGGTTTTAACATGCCGAGAGCGGAGCGGTCGAATTGGCTATTGCGTGACTTGGGGGAAAGCTAAGCCCGACGAGGGCACAACGCATCTTCTGAGATGCAGTCGGCACCTCGAGGTGAGGTCTTGGTCTCGCAGACGTGTCGGGGGGGGGGGGGGGCGGGGGGGTACAGATCCTGCCTGCTACGTTGACCCTACCGTGTAGCTCCTGCCCCGACAAACGTGACCCGGTGTTTTGTGTAAAATGCTCTTGCGCACTCGCTGCGCTTGACGACGGGTCACGGGAGAGCGAGGCATGGTAAATTGTGGCCGTGTTTCGTGTAAATGGCCACGACGAAAAAAAAAATACTTTCTGCAGCTTGAGCTTTTGAATCGTGATTCGCTTATGAGCACCTTTGTTGCCACGATGGCCTTGTGCCAGAGTGCGTTCTCGTTGCTGGGCCAGAACTAACGGTTGAAATTATATCCCTGCCGGGCTCACAAAATCTATTAAATCATGGGAATCGAATTATATTTTTTTTGTACATGGGCGCAGCCATCGTGAACGAGAGCCGTGCTACGTGTGGTGATTACGGCTGCGAGCGGACGCGACAGCCTCTGGCAATGGTGGCACGAAACGAGTGGGGGCTGTGTCACTGCGCGGAGCCGAGTGCACTTTGACGCAGGGCATTCACGTGCCCCGTTCCACCTTCGCTTGGAGTCTGAATCAAAATGCTTCTACTGAAGGAATCTGATGAGCTATAAAGCCCTTTCACAGATGTCCAACAGGAGTGCAAAGTAGAGTTAGTGCTGTACTAGTGACGAATTGCCACGTTCTGTTTACGTGACAACCTTTACTAGTTGGCTGTGTCGGGTGGTGGAGGGTTTTAACGACACATTTACGCGATCTAACCCAAACACCTCTTATGGATGATATTGGTCGCGAAAGCCTACCACGTGTTAAACTATAGGAAAGGTAAACATCACTTTAAAATATACAAATAAAACAACTTTTTTTTTAATCATTGCCCATAAATGATAGCTCAGTGGCGTATGTGGAAATGTTTCGCTTGCTGCTCGGGGAAGCGGAGGGCGCGGTGAGGGTGAAGGTTGTGCCGCGGAGGTTCATCGGTTCGGTGGTGCAGGGACATCAGCTGCCGCGGCGTCGAGAAGAGGGCGCATGGACGGCAGGGCCACGCGGCAGGTCCACGTGGCAGGGCCAAACGACAGGGTCACGCGGCAGGTCCAAGCGGCAGGGCCACGCGGCAGGTCCAAGCGGCAGGGTCATGTGGCAGGGCCACGCGGCAGGTCCACGCGGCAGGTCCAAGCGGCAGGTCCACGCGGCAGGGCCATGTGGCAGGGCCAAGCGGCAGGACCACGCGGCAGGGCCAAGCGGTTGCTTGGAGGCAGCGGCGACAGCGCGCCGCACCTGAGCACAGATCAACCACGGCATAAATCACCCTCACATCATCGCAACAGTGCGCGGCCCGGTGCATGTCACGAATAACAACGAAAAGCATAACGCGAAGTGATTCTGTTGCATATTTGTTAAAACTTCGTGGCTAAAGTCCTATCTGAAGGCAGCGCGGTATTTTCGCTTAAATGCCGCCATTCTAAGAATTTGTAAATGTTGCCACGATGCAGTTATCACCAGATTGCAGCCTCATCTTAAAATATTGAAGGGATATAACAGCAACAAAAATCCCTTGGAAAATAACCGCGTCTCATTTAATATTCATATTGCAATTCGAATAAAAGGAGGAGGGGTTAGCAGAGTTAATACCGCGATTTGTATTAACGTCGAAGATGTCGTTAGGTCATTCGCAAGAGTAGGCTATTGTGTGGCAGCGCCGTTGTCAGAATTTGAAATAAAATGTACAAACATTACTCCAGAATCACTTAATTTAAATATACACAGCAGTCATCGCCCCCCTTTACTGCAAAACACGTTGGCAACACCCTCCTGAAACACCCACGAGACTCGGCGAGGCTTCCGTGGGTAAACCAGCTTCATCAATAATTCCCAAGGCACGCAATCATAAATGTAGGACGTACAATTTACTCAGCAGCCAATTAAAGCACGTGGCCCGTTCATTGGCGAGGCGGCGCACGCAGGCTCACAGATGGAGACACGAAATAGCAAACGGAGTGTGACTCAGCGCGCTCACCTTGGACTTGATAGACGCGGAAACCCAACTCACGGCACCCTTCGCTTTACGCGAACCATCCGAAGGCGAGCGAGGGCTTCGTGGAACTGTAAGCCACCGTTGAATCAAGAGATCGCTGGGTTCAGAACAGAGAGGCACAACTTCACGGAGCGTGGATCTCTGCATGAATGACAAATAGTTGAACCATGACAAGACTTAGGTGCCGGGTGTGAACCAAGGTGGCCAAGCTCAGGGGGCTATACTGCTGGGAGGCATTCTGGCCTCGGGCTTGGAGTCAAGGTCCATGGGAAGTGTTGAGTTTGCACTCAAGAACCACCTTCCTGAGTTTTAAGGCATGTTGGCTCGGCTGACAATGTAATACTAATTCGATTTCAAATCTGACTTTTAGTTTGTGTACAAGTGCCTTGATATAGTTTGTGAATTGCGGTGTTTAGAAATTAATATATTGATTAGCATGGAGCCAGGATCTCATGAAATGGAAATGTCACGATGGTCGGATGTCACGGAGCCAGAGGATGGCATGCGCTCGTGATCTCGTGTCACCAGGATCGCATCAGGCATCGCGACACCTCATGGGATCCTGATTCCCTCCCCCGTGCGCCCAGGAATCAGGATATCATGCATTCAGAAAATCATGGAATCAGGATATTATGGAATCAGGATATTATGGAATTAGAGTATTATGGAATCAGGATATTATGGAATCAGAGTATTATGGATTCAGGATATTATGGAATCGGGATATTATGGAATCAGGATATTATGGAATCAGAGTATTATGGAATCAGGATATTATGGAATCAGGATATTATGGAATCAGAGTATTATGGATTCATGATATTATGGAATCGGGATATTATGGAATCAGGATATTATGGATCCAGGATCTCGTGGATCCAGGAGGAGTCGCCTCGTTCCTCGTCAGCAGCTGTCAGGGCTGACGCAGCTGGGCGCGTGGGCGTGCGGGGTGGGAGGGGAGTAGCGGGGGCGGGGAGGGAGGGGGGCGGGGAGGGAGGGGGGGTTGTCAGGCGATGTTGTTGGGGGGGGGGCTCCTGCAGGTGGGAAGTAGTGGGGGGGGGGGTACGAAGTAATGAGAGGAGGCGGGGAGCGGCTGTGTAGGTGGGAGGATGGCGACGGGGGCTGATGGGAGGGGAGTTGGTGATCTTCCTCCCTTTTCCTCCGCGTAGGAGCGGGCTCTTCAGCCTCCCTCGCCGGCACGGCGGAGACGCAACCCGCAGCAGGGAGCGAGACGGAGCGAGACGGAGCGAGACGCTCGCACCACCACGCACGCGACTGGAGCAGTCTCTCTCTTGCCTCACTCCACCTCGTGCCCCGCCTGGTGCTCCACCACCACACTCCACCACACTCACTCCAGCAGCACCACACTCCAGCACCACCACCACACTCCACCACACTCCACCACCACCACACTCCACCACCACCACCACACTCCACCACCACCACCACACTCCACCACCACCACACTCCAGAACCACACTCCACCACACTCCACCACACTCCACCACCACCACACTCCACCACCACCACACTCCAGAACCACACTCCACCACACTCCACCACACTCCACCACCACCACACTCCACCACCACACTCCAGAACCACACTCCAGCAGCTTCACCCTCTAGCCGAAGTCGTCCAGCAGCCAGCGGGTGGGGGCTGAGCGGCACATGGGGAGGGACCCCGCCTCCCCCTCCCCAGCGGAGAAGAAGAAGAAGTGTCTCTGCGCACTGAGCGCCGCGCCACGAGCAGCAGCAGCAGCAGGAGGAGGGGGGGGAGAAGGAGCCTGGAGACCCCGCCACGGGACCCGACGTGGAGACGGCGTTGAGGAGGCGATGCGCGGCGCCCGCGAGCCGCGGTGATGCAGCCTCGCCGCCTGGTGCCCGCGATGTCCGCGTGCCTTCAGCAGCAGCAGCAGCACGCGCTGTGCCCGCAGCTCGCCGCGGGCCACGTGGAGGCGGCGCTCAACTCCACGATGCTGCTTCTGCTGCCGCCGCCGGGCGCCGGCGGCAACGCGAGCGTCGTCGTCGTCGGCGGCGGCGGCGGTGCCGAGGAGCAGCAGGAGGTGTTCCGCCTCTTCCCGCTGCCCGTCCTCGCCGGGGTCACGGCCGCCTGCTGCCTCCTCTTCGCCGTGGGGGTCGTGGGCAACGCGATGACCATCGTGGTGGTGAGCCGCTACAAGGAGATGCGGTCGACCACGAACCTCTACCTGTCGAGCATGGCGCTCTCCGACCTGCTCATCTTCATGTGCATGCCGCTCGACCTCTACCGCATCTGGCAGTACCGGCCGTGGCTCTTCGGGGACCTCGGCTGCAAGCTGTTCCAGTACGTGAGCGAGGGCTGCACGTACGCCACCATCCTGCACATCACGGCGCTCAGCGTGGAGCGCTACCTCGCCATCTGCTTCCCGCTCAAGGCCAAAGTGCTCATCACCAAGCGGCGCGTCAAGGGCGTCATCGCCCTGCTGTGGAGCTGCGCGCTCGGCAGCGCCGCGCCGGTCTTCTACATCGTGGGGGTTCAGCTGGACGACGACGTGGAGGCGCTGCTCGTGTGGACCACGGCCGAGTGCCGCGAGAACGAGGAGGCCGTGCGCTCGGGCCTGCTGCAGACCATGATCTGGGTGTCCACCATCTACTTCTTCCTGCCCGTCTTCTGCCTCACGGTGCTTTACGGACTCATCGGGCGCCGCCTCTGGCGGAGGAGGCGCCAGGGAGGCGCGGGACTCAGCGGCGCGCAGCGGGAGAGGAGCCACAGGCAGACCGTGAAGATCCTCGGTGCGTCCATGCGCGGGTGGCGGTGGTGGCGGTGGTGGTGGGTGGTGGTGGGTGGCGCTGCTGGCGGTGGTGGTGGGTGGTGGTGGTCGGGGGAGCGGTGGTGTAGTGGTTAGCGCGCTACGAACCCGACGACACGAGTTCGATTCCCACTCACGGCCAACACCAATAACGATTGTCGGAATCGGTCCTGGGACTCCTCTCGGTCGACTCAGCCTCAAATGAGTACCTGGTGCGCTGTGTGAACATCGCCACTGGGGAGACAAAGGCGGCCGGCCGTAGTGTTGGCAAACCCGCCACCTCGGTGTGTCGTGCCGGCCTACAGAAGTGCTGCTCGCTAACAGCACTTGCCCCAACAGTCTGTTCAGGCTACAGGGGGGGGGTTGTCTTTGGAGGAGGTGGTGGAGGTGGAGGTGGTGGTGGTGGTGGTGATGATGGAGGTGGTGGTGGAGGTGGAGGTGGTGGAGGTGGCGGTAGTGGTGGTGGAGGTGGTGGAGGAGTTGGTGAAGGTGGTGCTGGTGGTGGTGGAGGCTCGCGGCAGGACACGGGTTGATGCGCTCCAAAAAACAATCGCGCTCAGTCACTCGCGAGTTTAGCAATTCACCAACTCGCTCGCTCCGTTCGTTGATTCGTTCGTTGAGCCAACCACGCAACAACTCACTCACCGATGAAGATGAGTTAAATGAATCGTTCATTAATGATCCACTCATTCAAGAGATAATACTTTCACACACCACGCAGTCGTTGCTTCGTTCGTTCACTCAATCACGCATCGCTTGGTAATCATTCCTTGACTCGGTTATTAATCATGAAATTATTCACTCACAAAAATGAGTCATCTACTGACGAATTCATTCAATCAGGCTTTAAATCATTTACCCACTCAACCCGTCACGAATTAAAACTACTCATCCACCCACTCATTGACTTGTTCTATCTCTCGCTCGTTACCGCTTTCATTCATTCCCTTTGCAAATTCATTCCTTCGCCAATAACATATTCCTTAATGCACTAACTCATTCACCAAATGTATTCACTCGCGTGTTCTTTCATTCATGCAGCGATATATCGAGAGCGGCCTTCCCATTGACATCACGAGGTCGCTCCATCGACACGTTTACGCATTGCACTAATTCCATCCTTAACTCATTCACTCTCCGATTAATTAGCACGTTCGCTTACTCGCTCGTCCATCATCATCCATGACTAATACCGCGCCTCCCACGCATTATTTGCCGTGGCTCCATTCAACAAAGACAGAGAGAGAGCCGGCGAGAGGACATTTACATGACAAGAGACCGAGCTGCAGTCTTCCTCCGTCCGTGCACACACTCTTTCACGCGTTCATCAGCGGTGGGTTTTTTTTAAAATATGAAACCAGGCGCGATAAGATTTGGAGCACTGTGGACTGCTACTGGATCACGGGCCCTTTCGCATATTCATTCGCTCTTGCATCAATTCATTCATCCATTAATTCATTTATTCATTCGTCCACTCTGTACGTAGCAAGGTGGGAACCCACCGTGGCCACGAGCTGGGCCTCGGGATAACGCAACTTCACGTTGTGACTGCATGTGCGCGCATGTATGTGTGTATGTATGTGTGTTACACTTCTTTCGCACCGTACGTAGCCTGTAACGAAAGCGTCGCGCTGCTCCTGTTTGGGTGCAATAATCGCTGCTTTCGTGTCTCGGGGGGAGGGGGGGAGCGGTGGCGCAGAGGTTAGCGCACTGTGCGATGAAGCCGGCGACCTGAGTTCGAGTTCTGGCCACGGCTAACATCAGTGGCGAGTGATATCCTCACTGGCCCTGACCCCCCCGCCCCCCACCCACCCCCCTCGCGCTCCGTGGTGAAATATGCGAAACAACCCCACGATCGACGCGGCGTGGTGGAGTAAGGCCCTCTTCATCCAGCGGTGGATCGCCGAAGGGCTGTAACCTCCAGCTCGCTAGCGAGCCTCTAGGGGCCGCACGACCCCCACGTGTTGTGGGCCGCATTGATGTCGCTCGGGGCTGTGAGCGGGCGCCTCTTGAAGCCGGCACGGGCGCGGGGCGGGCTTGGTTTGACCAGCATCGCGTCCGGCCACCGTCGCCTCCCTCCTGCTGCGTTGTACAACGACGGCACGTCACTGTGCGCTGTCCGCCACGTCGCACCGCGGCTCGTGGCGCGCCCAACGACACCCGCACCGCCGACTGGCGCGGCCGGCTCCGCGCGAGTTCCCCCACAAGGCGCCGTCCGCTGTCGGTCTGCTGCGCGCGGTGCGCCCCTCCGAGCGGAGTGCGGGCTGAGCCCTGCTCGCCCCCCCCCCCTTCCCCACGGGATCGGTGGCGGTGCTGCAGCTTCGCTTGCTCTGTAGCCGGGCGGGTAAAGCCCCCCCCCGCTCCCTGCCCCGATACGCAACAAAGCTGCCAGGCACGACATGCGAACGGCGATGGTCAGTCTGTCCATTGCTGATGAATCATGACACGAGCACTCTGTTCTTGCTGTTACACTCCCACTGCGATCATACTTGCTGCAGTATCTCAGCGCTTTGCGATTCTATTCGTATCACTGCTACTACTGCTACTACTACAATCAACTGATACTGTTTATTCTGGAGGATGAGACTCTTCTTCCCTCCTGTATTTTAAAAACTAAATTTTGTTGGGAGGTGCGTCTTATAATCCGGTGTGTGCGTGATCAGATTAGTACAACTTTATTGACACCGGGCACACAAGCCCGCGGTACGTCTTATAATCCGGTGTGCGTGATCAGATTAGTACAACTTTATTGGCACCGAGCACACAAGCCCGTGGTGCGTCTTATAATCCGGTGTGTGCGTGATCAGATTAGTACAACTTTATTGACACCGGGCACACAAGCCCGCGGTGCGTCTTATAATCCGGAGAACGCGGCCGTTTACTGCGGAGGTCATCGCGACCCCCTGCGGACGAGGCGAATTCCGCCCCCCGCCGCCGTCGCCGCCCCTGGCCCCGGCGGCGGCTCCGCGCTGTCTGCTCCGCGGCTCGACTCCGACCCAGAGCCGCGTGTGAGCCGCGTGGGGCTCTCCACCAAGGGGCGCTCCGTGGCGCTGTCTGCTGCTACACGGGACCGGCGTCAGCGCGGCTCGCGCACCGCCTTGCGGCTCTTGACGCGTCGTGCGTTCTCCAGGACTTCACTGCCGCGGGTTCCACCGCGGTAGACCGCGTCGCCCGGCTCTCGGTTGTGTCCAGGTCACTGCTGAGCACGAGCTGCAGAGCGAAGTGGACCTCACCCGGTTACTCAAACAGGTCGTGTGGCTTAGTTCAGTTCCAGGGACAGCTGTAGGACGAGGCAATGCGTCGTGGAGGTGCCGCGTTGTTGTTTATCGTCGCACGGCCGAGGAGGCGCCTCCGAGCTGACCGCGTGCCCCGGTTTGACCCCGCTGCCCCGCGTGTCGCCTCGACAGTGCTCGTCGTGCTGGCGTTCGTGCTCTGCTGGCTGCCCTTCCACGTGGGCCGCAACCTCTTCTCCGGCGCCTCCGAGCAGGACGAGCGGGGCCTGTACGAGGTGAACCTGCACATCAACGTGGCGTCGCTCCTCCTCTTCTACCTGAGCGCGGCCATCAACCCGATCCTCTACAACATCGTCTCGCGCCGCTTCCGCGAGGCCGCGCTGCGACTCCTCGGAGCCGCCCACCCGCGGCGCTCGGCACGCGGCCTCTCCGCGTGCCCCGCGTGCACCGACTCGGGCAGCAACGCGCCCTGAGCGCACGGCGGGATACAGCCGGGAGCCACAGCCGTGAGCCACAGCTGTGAGCTACAGCCCCACGGGCTCCAGCTGTGAGCTACAGCCCCACGGGCTCCAGCCGTGAGCTACAGCTGTGAGCTCCAGCTGTGAGCTACAGCTGTGAGCTACAGCCCCGCAGGCTCCAGCTGTGAGCTACAGCCCCGCGGGCTCCAGCTGTGAGCTACAGCCCCGCGGGCTCCAGCCGTGAGCTACAGCTGTGAGCTCCAGCTGTGAGCTACAACCCCGCGGGCTCCAGCTGTGAGCTACAGCCCCGCGGGCTCCAGCTGTGAGCTACAGCCCCGCGGCCTCCAGCCGTGAGCAACAGCTGTGAGCTACAGCTGTGAGCTAAAGCCCCGCGGGCTCCAGCCGTGAGCTACAGCTGTGAGCTACAGCTGTGAGCTACAACCCCGCGGGCTCCAGCTGTGAGCTACAGCACTAACCCCAGCACTGACTCCTCCAGCTGTGACCTCCAGCATGGGCTCCAGCAGCAACGCATCCTGGACTCGAAGCTGTATCCCTGACACTGACTCCAGCTGTGAGCTCCAGCACGGAGCTCCAGCCCTGACTCCTCCAGCGGTGAGCTCCAGCACGAAGCTCCAGCCCTAACTCCTCCAGCGGTGAGCTCCAGCACGGAGCTCTCCGCTGTCATCTCGAGCCCAGGCTCCAGTCGGGGGTTCAAGCCATAACGCTGCGCGCTGTCCCCCGCCTCGCTGTTGTAGACTATAGAGATCAGTGTGTGCGTGTGTCATTGTGTGGGTGCGTGTGTGTCAATGTGTGTGTGTGTCGTTGTGCGTGTGTGTGTTATTCCGTGTGTCATTGTGTGTGTGTGTGTCATTGTGTGTGGGTGCGTGTGTGTCATTGTGTGTGTGTGTCGTGCGTGTGTGTCATTGTGTGTGGGTGCGTGTGTCATTGTGTGTGTGTGTCATTGTGTGTGTGTCATTGTGTGTGTGTCATTGTGTGTGTGCGTGTGTCATTGTGTGTGGGTGCGTGTGTCATTGTGTGTGTGTGTCGTGCGTGTGTGTGTGTCATTGTGTGTGGGTGCGTGTGTCATTGTGTGTGTGTGTCATTGTGTGTGTGGGTATGTCATTGTGTGTGTCCGTGTGTCATTGTGTGTGTGTCATTGTGTGTGTGTCATTGTGTGTGTGCGTGTCATTGTGTGTGTGTGCGTGTGTCATTGTGCGTGTGTCATTGTGTGTATGTGTCATTGTGTGGGTGCGTGTGTGTAATTGTGTGTGTCATTGTGTGTGTGGGTGCGGAGCGGTGGTGCAGCGGTTAGCGCTACGCTGCGCTACGAACCCGGTGACCTGAGTTCGAATCCCGCTCACGGCCAACACCAGTGACAATTATCTGATCCGGTTCTGGGCCTCCCCTAGGTCGACTCAGCCTCAAGTGAGTACCTGGTTCAGTGTGTAAACATCGCCATTTGGGAGACAAAGGTGGCCGGGCGTGCTGCTGGCCACCCATCCTCTCGTTTGCCGTGCCGGCTTTCATCGGTGCTCGCTGACAGCACTTGCCCCAGCAGTCTGCTAATACTATACGGGGGATCTTTGTCTTTATATGCGATACGTAATGTGTGTTCAAAGTTATGAGTATCTTGTGATATAGCATGCATCACTCGGCGTCGCGGGTTTATCGTGTAAGTGATATAGACACACACACACACACCAGGGTCGCGCCGCGACACGCTGCACGCCGAACGCGACCCCCACGTGCACCGCCGCCGCGTTTGAATCGGCGCCCCGTACGTCACGCGCCACTCAGCGGCGCGTGAACCCGTTCATTGGCATTGGCGGTGCCGCGGAACGACGTTTCGCGGTAGGGCCTCGACGAACGGAGCGTTGAGTGGAGGCGGTGCGCGAGGAGGACACACCAACCAGCCCGAGGCCTCACGAGGCACACGCGGCTGAGCGGCCCCGCACTGCCGGCCCAGCCCAGCCCAGCCCAGCCCGGGCGGGCGAGAGGGAGCGACAGGTGACACTGCGGGTGGCCCTCGGTGCGAGTCGCCCATCGGCGCGTGCAGCGCTCTGAGACGCGCGCCCTGAGAGGGGGAGCGGGGGGGCTGCTGCTGAACATTTCGGGGTTATTAATCACCAATCCCATGATCATTCATCACGAACAACATCATCACCACCAACCACGGCCACATCATCACCAATTGTCATCACCCCGCTCACCGACAACAGAGAGGCGTTCTCGGCTCCGTAACCACGGTACCCACGGGTGGGTATGGATGTTGAACTTCTTTCGCGCCGTACGTAGCCAACCGCTCTCATCGGAGGTGCGGTGACCACTCGTCGGTACCCAGCAAGGATCGGTTCGTCACGAAATCGATTTTTTTTCCTCTCACCTACATCCCGACAGCCCCCCCCCCCCCCCCCCCGTTTGCTGTCCATGTCGATGGGAAGATCGCGCGTCGCGCGCTACGCGAGGGACGCTCGTGCCGCCTCTCGTCGCAATAGCTGCGGGGGCCTTGGTCTGGTGGACCGCGAGTGAGACATCGCGTGCAGCCGGCTGGCCAAGGTTTCTCGCTCGGGCGAGGCGATGAGAAGAAGAATACTTGAGCCGCAGCGTCATAACGGACCGAGGGAGGGAGAAGGGGAAGAGGAGGAAGCCAGCGGCCCGAATCAGTCGGGACGGGGGTCACTGCGACTCGCGACACGAACGATCCTCCTGCTGCTGGAGGAGGGGCTGCCGCAGCGTCCACGTCCGACTCTCGCCGCCTGCCGCGGCCATCTGCGAGCGAAGCGCTGCCGGCCGGCTTCTTCTCTGCTCCGAACGAGGCTCACTTCCCGAAACGTCGGCCCGTGTCTGTTGCGGAGGCGGCGCTCTAATGGCGGCGGTTTGGCGAGTTTGGCTGCCCAATTGTCGGGCGACCCCCCTCTGCATCCCCACACCGCCCCCCCCCCCCACCGGCCCCCCACCGCTCCCCCCCCCACCGGCCCCCCACCGCCCCCTCCACCGCCCCCCACCGCCCCCACCGCCCCACCTCTACAAAAAACTGTAGTATTTTTTGTTGCTTTTCTTTGAACCTATCTCCGTGACTTTACCGAAAGACCAAAAGAACAGGTCACAACATTTCAAGAGCCGCGCGCTGCCGCGGAGCCGCGGGCGTTGCCGACCTCTGCTCGAGTCGCCGCTGCACGGGGCCAGCCCCACCCCCTGTCCGGCAGAGGACGGAGAGGCGAGCGCCGTCATCGCCGCCGTCGTCAGTCACGGCGGGCAGGCGGGCGGGCGAGCGGCACGCGGGTGTCGGCGTGCCGAGAGCTGTCGCGGGAATGGAGCTGATCGTGAGCGCGCTGTTGACCTCGGTCGGCTGTGCCCCGATCGGCCTGTGTCTCTGTCCGGTGCTCTTTTGTGAACGCGGATGCACGCTGCGACCCTCGTTTCTCTGGGCGATTAAAAATAAAAAAAGACTCGTCAATAACCACCGTGTGTGCGGCCTTAAAATGAGTATTTGTCTATAAAAGTCGACGTTTAGAGCAACAGCCCTTCGTTTCATAGCGCATGGGAGAGTAGATCTGCCGCGCGGCACATCGTAGAACTAAGACAAAACTATGTTTTATTGTACCAGGTCAGGCCCACTTAGCTGTGTAGCTCTTTTTCATCACGTGGCCATCACAAATGATAGCTCAACAAAGTGGATTATTATCATCATCACGTGGACATTTATAGCAGCCAGCGTGATGTTGATTCGAAACTTGGAGGGTAAAACCCGAGGACCCGGAGAAAAATCCCCGCGACCGCGAGGAGGGAGAGAGGTGCACACTCCAAATACACAGCGGCGGGCGTCAGGGTCGGGATCGAACCCACGACCTCCTGCCAACCAGGCGAGGTAGTTAACATCTCCTAGCCACCGTGATGATGATGATGATGAGAGAGACACACAAACTCCAAATACACAGCGGCAGGCGTCAGGGTCGGGATCGAACCCACGACCTCCTGCCGACCAGGCGAGGTAGTTAACATCTCCTAGCCACCGTGATGATGATGAGAGAGACACACAAACTCAAAATACACAGCGGCAGGCGTCAGGGTCGGGATCGAACCCACGACATCCTGCGTACCAGGCGAGATAGTTAACATATCCTAGCCACCGTGCTGATGATGAGAGAGACACACAAACTCAAAATACACAGCGGCAGGCGTCAGGGTCGGGATCGAACCCACGACCTGCGTACCAGGCGAGGTAGTTAACATCTCCTAGCCACCGTGATGATGATGATGATGAGAGAGACACACAAACTCCAAATACACAGCGGCAGGCGTCAGGGTCGGGATCGAACCCACGACCTCCTGCCGACCAGGCGAGGTAGTTAACATCTCCTCGCCACCGTGATGATGATGAGAGAGACACACAAACTCCAAATACACAGCGGCAGGTGTCAGGGTCGGGATCGAACCCACGACATCCTGCGTACCAGGCGAGATAGTTAACATCTCCTAGCCACCGTGCTGATGATGAGAGAGACACACAAACTCCAAATATACAGCGGCAGGCGTCAGGGTCGGGATCGAACCCACGACCTGCGTACCAGGCGAGGTAGTTAACATCTCCTAGCCACCGTGATGATGATGATGATGAGAGAGACACACAAACTCCAAATATACAGCGGCAGGCGTCAGGGTCGGGATCGAACCCACGACCTCCTGCCGACCAGGCGAGGTAGTTAACATCTCCTCGCCACCGTGATGATGATGAGAGAGACACACAAACTCCAAATACAGAGCGGCAGGCGTCAGGGTCGGGATCGAACCCACGACCTCCTGCCGACCAGGCGAGGTAGTTAACATCTCCTCGCCACCGTGATGATGATGAGAGAGACACACAAACTCCAAATACACAGCGGCAGGCGTCAGGGTCGGGATCGAACCCACGACCTCCTGCCGACCAGGCGAGGTAGTCAACATCTCCGAGCCACCCCCTCGCGACGTGACCTCGCCTCCCCGGACCTTCAGGCGCCCCAACTTGGCACAACAGC